TTTTTTCTTTTATTATTTTTTGCCCTGAAAGGCAAGAGAAAAAAAAAATATGTGAAAAAAACAAAGTTTGGCTGCAGCATTTTGGATTAGCTGAAGGCTTTTAATTACAGTTTGTGGACTTCCTGATAGTAAAGAATTACAATAGTCCAGCCTTGAAGTAACAAATGCATGGACTAGTTTCTCAGCATCAAACCTGTTATTTCTAATTTTTGAAATATTCCTCAGATGAAAGAAGGAAACTCTAGAAACCTCTTTCATATAGGATTTAAATGACAGGTCCTGATCAAAAACAACACCAAGATTTTTTACCTTATTATCTGAAATCAGTTTAATCCCATCCAAATGACTAATCCGCTTCTTTTACAAAGACTCTAGTCTAAAGACTATAACCCCCTGTTTTGTCTGCATTCATTAGCAGAAATGTACAGACACAGCTGAGTATCATCAGTATAACAGTGCTGATGATACTCAGCTTTTCTTATTCTTTTTAGCTTGGAATAAAACATGTTATTTAAATCATATATTAGGGACCGTCTGCAAGTTGCAACACCATAAAAAAATCAGAGAGAAAAATTTAAAAGCGTCACCAAGGTGAGGTGGATTATTATCACTTTTATTGGAATCGAAAATAATACTTTTATGAGGAATTTCCCAAAGCCTAAATGACAAATGGCATCTCTAATTTATTATCAGAATAAGTATAAAATGAGCAATGACTACACTTTAGATCATTGCAGTGCCACCAAACTTGAAGGATACACAGATAACCTCATCTGGATCATAATACAACTCTTACTTTGGGAAAATGTGCTAAACTCTATTTTTTTGAGAGTTTTTCATTGTCATTATAGGCATATAATAGCCAATAATTACACTATAGATCATTGTAGTGCCTCCAAAATTGTAGCACACATAGATAACCTAATCTAGTTCAGACTGTCGTGGATGTCCTCCGAGCGACGTAGTAATTTGTACTAAGTCTTGCAAAAATTCTAAGTTCTTGGTAAAGCAGTTGAAAAGTCACCAACAGTAGTCAAAAAGAAGCAGAGGCAGCTGGGTCTCGGTCCAGTATGGTTTATTGCAATAATACATGTCCACCACACATGAGATGTTCAGCGGTCAACATCTAAATGATACAAAGAAAGGGGTCTGCTTATATACTCTCTCTGGGTCTTGGGGGCTCCTCCCCGAGCCCCTCCTATTTTTACGTAATTTCAGGTACTTTTTCCACGATATCTCTATTATCTATTTACCTACAGGTGGAAATTTGCCCAGGGTGCATATTTTTTTAAAGTGGCTACACGTCATCGCCCATTCCGGACCTTTGGACCATGGTGATACACATTTTGTTTACATTGACTTCTTCAGTATAGCTTGACGTTCGGTTTCTTCACTGCCACGTTTTGTTTGCATTAACCCTCTTAATCTTATCTTGATCTCTGGACTGCCACACACATTATTTTCTTAGATATATGTTAAAGCACACCATTTAACCATTGTGACAAGAATATATTCATTAATCGACTACATTCTATTCATTGTGAGATATTAATCCACTACAAGACTACAACTCTTTCTTTGGGAAAATGTGCTAAACTCTATTATTTTTTTATTTATTTTTTTTAGATTTTTTGCATTGTTATTATAAGCAGGCCAGGTGTGCACTGTACAAAGTATACCTGTCACAAATGCAGGAAGGACTCACCTTGGGTTTGTAAAAACTGCTAAATGGGACAATTGTAGCTTCATATTAAGTGCCTTTCTTTGGGTGAAATAAATGTTACTCCAATACTGAAATCATACTGTTTATCATTCTCTAAGCTGAAATGTTGAATGACATGAAAAGGTAAGACATTACAAAATACAATTATTTTCTAAGTTTCTTTCACATAGTGAGTCTGTTGGTGAAAGGACAATATAAATAGGCTCTGCCTTGCCTTGTTGGTAAAGCATGGTTATGACCTGTTCTCAGCTCAGGAATTAGGACCCGTATGATATCTGGTTGTTCAAAAGGTTTGCCTAAATAAAAGATTTAGATATGACTTATCAAGATATTCCTGCAAAAAGGTCTGATGTTGCAGGGGCAGGTAATGAAAAGTGCTGGGAAAAAAATGCTCTTGTTCTTTCAGCCTTTAAACAAAACGAACATCGATCCAAGCGCCTGCAGTTCACAGATTCAGTCAACAGGAGGCGGTGTAGAATCTAAAGTTAGTTTCAAAGTTAGGACACGAGGAAGAGAGTAGTAGAATAAAGAGGAGGGGAGTTTATTTAGCACAGGAAAGAGATCAGAACCAAACCTTACCGAAGGTAAGAAACTGGAGTGTTTTTTTTTTGTATTTTAAAGAGTTATTTAACTTCATTGTCTTCTGTGTTTACTCATATCTGCATGTCATTGCGTTTACCGCTGGTTTAAAAAAAAAAGGCAAGCAGGTTAACGATCGATTTTGGCAAACGGTCGGTTTGTCGAAAACTCTGAATTTTTCTGGTAACTTCAGGAGCTCTCATGAACATAAAAACGTAAGCCTTTAATTTAACTTCGCTTTGCTTCCGTTTGTGGACCCTGTTAGCTGGTCAGTGAGAGTCTGGTCTTCAACCAGAGGGGGTTCAGACGCCAACATGGTATTAATACCATCCTTGGTATTCTGCTCTGACGTCAGGATGTTTAAGCACAAATAAAGTGATAAGGAGGAGAAGGCCTTCATCAGCTCCTCTCTGGGCTGAACTAAACATGGCTGCCCCCCAGCTGGATGATCTCCTCATGCATCACCATTAAATTAAAGATGGAAAAGTTCAGTTTAAGCAGCTGGATGGGAATATTTCACCTGTACAGTTCAACCTCTGCACCTAAAAAAAAAAAATCACAGTGGGAAATAACTTTAAAAACACATATCTTTTGAAAATATGCTTGATTAAGATAATTTATGTTCCATGCTTTGTACAACATTCAGTATTTTATATTATTTACATACTCCAAAGATTAGGAAGGATGTTTTTTTTTTTTTTTTTTTTGAAGAGCATTAGGGGTTTATTGAATATTAATTCAATTCAGTTTATTTATATAGCACCAATTCACAACACATGCCATCTCAAGGCACTTTACAGAGACAATTCAATCAGATCATGAAGTCAGTTTGATTCAAAGCTTTCTATTGAAGGAAAACCAGCAGGTTGCATCGACTGGATTTGATGCTTGTAGTGACAGTGGAGAGGAAAACTCCCACATGAAGATGAAATTTACACCCATGTAGCAAACTGCTGAAGCTCTCCTTTATAATCCACGAAACATATGAAGATGAGGACATTAGCATGTGTACGCCAGTGTACATTTCACAAAATTTTCTATTTGTTAAGCTCTTTATAATAGGTTGTTCCCATACATCGTTTCATGCAAAGGGTTGCGTGCAATCATGTTGCTCCTAGCACCGGCTAGGGGGGTCAGGAGATTCTTATGCCTACTGCTAGTTCTAGGAAGTTTTATGCTCCCTGGTGATCTCCTACCTTACTGACAGCACTATGGTAACGTGGTACGCACTAAGGCTGAAATAATTAATCAGAATAATTTGGATTAATCAATTATTGAAAGAATGGTAAACAAATTGAGTAATCGATTAATCGTTAAATGGAGCAAAGAGACTGTAAAGTATGCTTTTAGCTGACAGAATGCCCCACTTACAGCAACAATTATTCTAAAAATATATATTTAAAAAAATTGTCTATCCAGAACCCTTCAAGTGGAAAAGCTGTAGCGTAACCTGGTTTAATTTGTAAAAACAATCTTCTTTAATTGACCTTTGATTATCCAATTATTAATCGAAAAAAAAAGATTATTCGATTCGCAAAATATTCGTTAGTTGCAGCCCTAGTATGACCTATGTCCACGGCTTAAGTGTTCCCAGCAATTTGACATATTCAGATCGAGCCTCCAACGCTGTCCTGCAGCCTTTAGATATGTCCCCTGCCCTGCATACCTGAATCAAATTGCCAAACAAGCTCTTTACCAGGTAATTTCTAAAGAGCTCTTCTAATGAGTTCATATTGGAGTCAGGTGTGTTGAAGAGGAAGTTAATCTAAAGTTGCAGGACTGGAGCCTGAGACCAAGGGTTTAGAAGACCTGGAAATTACATCGCTGTTGCAATACGTCTTGTTTGGCTTGACAGATTGGCCATTTTGGAAACCTTCCACACCTGGGCACCTCACCTACTGTGACCAGATGTTCCCATGTGTAAGGGACAGTCCCGCATTTTTCACTTTTATGTTATTCCTAATCAGAATTTTGCAGACATTTATATTTCATTCATTCCTTCATCTCTGAGTCATACTGATGGGTTCTACTGCCTTTCCAGCAGTCTGGCCCTGACCTGTGAAAACAAGCAGATGGAGAATATCTGCTCAGGAAGGCTATTTTCTGGAAGCAACTACCTTTACCACGTGGCGACTGTTCTGTAAAGAACACCCCATTTCTCAGATTAGGGAGGGTTGATGTGAGGAAAAACTTGATGATTAAAAAATTCAAAGTGGAGCCGCCTCTCAGTGTTAGCTCCACTTTGAATTTTTCTTTAGAGTTTGCAGAGAACGACTATATTTCAACAAATGTATACAGCACAGTGCTAAAGTTGCTATTTCATGATAGATTGATCTATACTTCAATTTAAAAGGCTTAAAAATACATGATATAGGACCTTTAAACTGTGGGGCTGAGGCTAAGTCTTTTAAAGAACTGTTTCAGAAGTTTAATCTTGCTCCGACTCATTAGTTCCCATCAGTTTGATGTTTCCTTGGGTAACATTGTCCATTAGGAAGAACTGACAGAATCTGTCTAATTTTCAACCATCTTAGCCAAAATATCCCCTTCAGAGGGAAAGAAAATCGATTCAGATGTTTTCAAACTACCATGGAACTAGAGACTGACATTTTTTCGGGAATCCCACGGGTCACGGGATTCCCGTGGGATTCCCGTGGGATGGGAGTCAGTATTAGTAAAGATCACGTGATTGGGACGGTACAGGATTAATTGTTAACGGGAGCAGACGGAAGCGGGAGAAAACCAATAATAACTTAAAAAAAAAAAAAAAACTAGGATCGATGCCAAAAAAATAAAATAAAATAGAAAGGAAAAAAAAATCCAGCACTGGCGCGGCGCCGCCATTTTATAGTTTTTTTCCTTGAAGCCTGCACTATAATGCGAGTCAAAAAAACTACACGACCCAAAAACCAACAGTGCTTCTGCTCTGAGTTTTCACCCGCGCTCAAAAAAACAAAACAAGAACGGGAGTGGTGCAGGAGCGGGAGTCATTCTGAATGGGAGCGCGGTGGGAGTAATTTCACCAGGAGTGGGAAGGGACAGGATGTAGATTTCTACTCTGGCCCGGGATCGGGACGGGACACAATTGTTTTCTGTGGGAGTGGGACGGGACAGGACAGAAGTGAAAATCCACTCCTGTGTCAGTCTACATGGAACCACAAAGGCAGGAGCTGGTGAAGATGCTTAGTCTTCCAGCTCATAGTCATTCCAAAAAAGTAAAAAAAAAAAAAAATTAACAATCCACTGGACTTTGTTTCCAAGTTTGAAGACGTTTTACTTCCCATCCAGGAAGCTTGCAGATTGTTGCAAGCTAAAAAATAACCCAAACGACTGCCCACTCTTAAAGGGCAGACCTGTTGGTCAGGTTAAATTTGCATGTTTTCTAAGCCAAAACAAGGCTTTGTTTTTGTCCACTCTATAAAGCCCTAAACTCAATGCAAATTCTGACATTTTGAATTGAAAAACCTTCCTGAATGGGAAGCGAAACATCTTGAAACAAAGTCCAGTGCATTTTTTTTTGGAATCACCAAGGATGGAGCCTTCTATGAACGATAAACTACGAGAACGCCGTTGTCTAAGTGCAGCTGGTTGTGCAGCTGGTTATTCATCACCATGGACCAAGAGGGGGAGGATCATGAGAGAAGACCGTGCTTGAAAAGGGGAGTCTTAAAATGGGACAGAACTTTACATCTGCCCACAGGAAAGAGTGAAATGGCTTCAAGAGGAAGGTTTATGTATCAAGGACACAAAAATTGGCATAAAGTAGATAAGGAATGGGCAACAGCAACCTCAAGGTTTGGTGTTCTGAAATGTTTAGATATGTCCCTGCTCCAACACAACTGGATCAAGTGAATAGATGAAGAACCTACTCACTGAGGATGTAATTAAACCATTTGATCCAGATGTGCTGGACCAAACACGCATCTTAGGCTACGTTCACACCACAGCCTGAACTGACCCAAATCTGACTTTTTTTTTTTTTTTTTTCTTTCTTTTGCCCACATGCGACCTGAATCCGATCTTTTCATAGCAGTCTGAACAACACAGATCCGATTTTTAAATATTTTTTTCCAATCTGACCCAGGGCGCTTGGCTATGTGGTCCTGAATTCCATACGAATCTGATCTTTTCAAATCCGACCTGTGTCTGAACGGCCAGGTCACATTCACCCGACCTGAACGCCATTAGTAACCAACATAGGTCACTATTCTACATCTTGTTACACATAAGCGGCAAGAAAAACAAACACCTTTTTTATTTTTTTATTTTTTTATTTTTTATCATCTTGAAAAGATTAAGGTTTTAAGGTTTGGAAAGATCGCTAGATGCGCTCCAGCACTACGTCCATGTTTACTTCCATAAACACGAAGCACGCTGGCTTGTGACGTCATTGCGTCCTTTACTGCGCATGCGCAACACATAAGTTGTATAAATACAGTTTACACAGGAGATCACATACAAGTCTCATATATTTGGAAATGTGTGCGGCAACGCAAAAAAATCATATTTCCCCCCCCAAAAAAAAATCAGAATTGAGCATCAAGGCCTGCAGTGTGAACGTAGCCTTGATGTTGGAGACCGGCCCTCGAGGACAGCTGTTGCCCCTCCCTGAAGCAGATGTTTTTCAAGCTAAGAACAGTGTTCCAACTCTTGAGACCAATACCCAGGTTTTTAAACAGAGCTTATAGAACAGGGGGTGAAAAAAGACCTACAAATTCTTCATTTCCCCACTAAAGGCTAGATGTTTAAAATGGGCCCAAGTCTACAACCGGGTAGCTTTAAGTTTCTGGATTGGTTCTCCAAAAGTCAAACCTCAGTTATGTGTAAATATCATGGACTATGTTTTAAAGCTTGGCCTATTTCCAAAACATTTTTGTAAATGGTTAAAAGAAGAATGTTCACCATGATGGCAGAAGGTTATTAATGGCTACAAAACTCACATAGTCTGATGTACAGCAAGCTAAAGGACAGCTAGCTAATATTGAAGTTATGTTTCTGAGGATTTCTAAACTTTAAGGGATGGTTTTGTTTGTAATTGGTATTTATTAATCATAAGAAGTAAATTAAAATTAAAATTAAAAGAAACACAATTTACATTGGTGGTCATAAGTGGTGTCATTGAGAATAAAATTAAAAGTAGTTTTGGTTTTCCTGATTCTGTCTTCNGTGGTCATAAGTGGTGTCATTGAGAATAAAATTAAAAGTAGTTTTGGTTTTCCTGATTCTGTCTTCATTCTGTCTTCTGTTGCAGACACAGATTTGTTTAAATTCTGCTGTTTCAAAAACATTTTCTTAGTTTTTTTTTGTTTGGAATTGCTGTTTGTAAAAGTACATTTTTAAAAGTTATTTATCTAATATGTAATTTTCTTAAATGAACATGGAATAAAACAAGGATCAGATTTGATGTGAAAATGATTGGGGATATTATGCCACATGTGAAAACGACATCGGCAAAAATGATTGTTGTGTCAACAGGGTATTGCTGAGTATTATTATTTCCACTTGTGAGTTGTACCAAATTGTTTAATACTGAATGACGTGTTTTGTTTGTATTCACCAACTCTTTTTGCTCATTTTGTAGAATGTTTGACATTTATGAATGGGTCCCAACTGCGGCCACCTGTGTGATTTAACCAAATATACTGTATTACTAGATGTATTTGCTCACCCATCCAAATGAAACTTTATGGACAGCCTTCGCAGAAGAGTTAAAACTGTAATAGCTGCAAAGGGTGGATGTCATCTTCCATGGTCACTGCAGGTCACTTAAGCTCAGTTCATGGAGTTCACTATAAAGTCGATATAGTCTATATAGTCCCTGCTCTATATAGTAATTGAAGGGTTCGAGCATACGATCTGACACAGGCAGATATATATATTTTTTAATTTGTTAATTGCTAAAAAATTGCGTAAAAAAATAATTGAATATATATCTGACATTTAGCTAATGCTTGGGTCAAAAGTAACAGTGTTGCTTTACTAAATATTGTGCAAATCAAAAAATTACTTAGTGCTCCTCCTGTGTCTTGTTATAGTTCAGCAGTAAGTCATACCTTAGGGTGCAGATTCTTTAAAAAGCAAAACAAAAAAAAATATAGTAATGTTGACGATTTCGTCATCTAGAATTTACAGTTTTTCTTTTCAGCTACTCGTTCAGCAAAAGTACTTTCCTGAAGCTCGTTATCTTCGTTATTAAAAGGTATATTTGGTGTGGCTATAGACCACAGGGAAAATCTGTCAAGGTCACCAGAGATTGGCTAAAGTTTAAATGTATATCACCAGAATTAATGTGACTCCAAAAATATTGTATCCAAAAGATAGAAGATTAATCTAAATTCATCTAAATTTGATTTTCTTGATCAAATAATTATTTGATAGGGGTAGTTTTCTTAAAAACCTGAGTTTTCTTTTTAACGCGAAGGGCAGTATGCTGTATTTTAAAAAGAAGCACATCATTATATTTTATTATGCCAGCTAAATAAAATATTGACCGAACAAGAATATTGTTTTCTGTCACATTAAGGCATTAAGACACATTGTAAAAAAACATAACCCTGCTTGGTTACTGATTTAAAAATTAAGACGAATAGAATAAAACGTATTAAACATTTAAAATTCTAGATGAACAGATATGTGAAAATAGTATTTAAGAGGGTATTTCGTTCCAGCTCATATTAGTGCCTACTTGGTGTTAGTGAAGTGGACTAGGGCGATTAATCTGTTCATTATTTTCAATTAATCGAATGATGATTGGATAGGCAAAGGTTCCTTAAAGAGGGTGAAAATAAAACTTTTCCACTTGAGGTCTGATAGATAAAGCATTTTTACAGAGGTAAATGTATCCTAAATGCAAAATGTATATATATTTTATTTTACAATTTTGGTATAATTAATGCTCCAAGTGTGTTACTCTGTCAGCTAAAGACATGTTTTAGAGCCCCTGAACTCCAGTTGGCAATTAATCAATTATTAAATCAGTTGACGATTATTTCAATAATTGATTAATCCAATTAATAGTTTCAGCCCTAAAGTGAACCCTATCTGTGGTATTAGCCTGCAAGGGCAGACTGTTTTAGGGCTTGTGTTTTCATTACACAGCTTGTCAGTCTCACTTAAACATATATTTTCATAAGTTATTTTGATTTATCTATTTTTTTCTTTTTCAATTCATGAGGATAGTTTTCTTTGCGACAGATAGGGCAGTTAAAACCATGCAATTTGTTTTCTTCCAAAGAGCTATCCTCAAAGTTACCAAGCAAAAAAACTGATGGGGAAGGTGAGATTTTACAACTTAGGTTCTCTGAAAATTCCCAGAACCTCTGAACAAGTGTACATAACCATACTGCATGAATATAATTGTCAGGATTGTAGCTTATGCGCTGTGTACGGATAATAGCTTGTGCAAAACCCATCTTAATAATTAAGAATGATAATTTAACTTTGTTGGTCACACATGGAGAAACTAACCTCTGCATTTAACCCATTGGGGAGCAGTGGGCTGCCATCGTGGGGCACCCGGGGAGCAGTGTGGGTCTTTGCTCAGAGACCGAGATTGGCAGTCTGTGGGAGTGGGGCTCAAACTCAGAACCTTAGAATTCCAAGCTCTATGCCCTAACCACTAGGCCACCACTCCCTGTATCTTGAATAGTCTTTGGCTACGTTCACACTGCAGGCCGTGATGTTCAATTCAGATTTTTTTGTGAAACCCGATTTTTCGTTAGTTCGTTCACATTTCCAAATGTATGCGACTTGTATGTGATCTCCTGTGTGAACTGCAGTCATACAACGCAAGTGTCCCGCATGTGCAGTAGAGGACGCAATGACGTCATAGGCCAGCGTGCTCTGTGTTTGCGGAAGTAAACATGGATGGTAGTGCCATCGCGCATCTAGTGGTCTTTTCCAACCATTAAAACTCAATCTTTTCAATATGGTTAAACATAAATACTGCTCTCTGCATCATCATCTGCTGTTGTTGTTTTTTTTGCAGCTTCTGCGTAGCAAGACGCAGAATTGTGACCTATGTCGGGTATTAATGACGTTCAGGTCGGGTGAATCCGACCTGGCCGTTCAGACACAGGTGGCATTAAAAAAATGAGATTCGTATGGGATTCAGGACCACATAGCCAAGTAGCCTGGGTTGAATTGGAAAAAATCGGATCTGTGTTGTTCAGACTGACATGAAAAGATCAGATCCAGGTCGCAAATGGGCAAAAAAAAATCGGATTTGGGTCACTTCAGGCTGCAGTGTGAACGTAGCCCTTGACCTATATAGTGTACTCTGTGAAGGATTTTGTATTGTATTAGTTGTAAATTTGTTTTTCTTGTATTTTTTATAGTTTTCAAACATAGCTAAGACCAGATGTTTTGTTCCAAGCCGACTGATAAGTCCTCTTTCCATTTTATAATAGGAAGACTGTCTATTTTAGTCAGTGTCCTGTATAGTTTGGGGGGCTTAAATTCAGAAACTCTAATATATTTGTTGGAATTTGTAAACCACCTTTAATATGTTTAAATTTACTGCTAATTAAAAGCTGATTGTGTCCAGTCTCTGATATTATCATTACCTTAAGCATTGAGGAATTTTAGCTTTACAACTGTTTCACACATTGGCTTGTTAGTTGTATTTGGCATTCAGTGTTCAGCAAGGACTGATGTTCAACTCAGCAAGCAAATCAAAGATGAGATATCTAAGCCCTCAATTCTACTATAGAGTAAAATCTAGAAAATAATGTAAGTCCCTTTCAAAGCATATCTAAAGCATACAGGTTCAAACTTATCCATGGCAGATATAAAAATTCAGTAGACAATTTTGTACCAGATAAATTTGTTAACGGCTTCAACTTTAAAAGAGGGAAATGGTGAACAGGCAAGATTACTTTCTAACTCTATCAACAGTCATTTTAACTACATTTAAAACAATGAATTAGCATTTTTTATCCATAATAATGTAGCATAATATGGGACCTTTAACATGTCTCCTCTACAACTTTTCCCGTACAGATTCTGGGCCCGGAACAAGCTGTTGTTGGGATTCCAAGATGTCCTTTACTGGCCATCAAGAAGACTGCAGCGGTGTAGCTGGTTAATCTGGAGCCCAAAAAAGGGTTGTGGTGTTCTTTGTTGAATGTAAACATTTCCATACATAACAACAATACTGTTGTCACAAGCTGGCTTGCCCATAAATTCATCAAACTTTCATAAAGCTGCTGACCCCCATGTCTCAGTCCATGAATACTCCCTCTTTGAATGATAGTGTAACTAAGGGGCAATATGGACTTCCTACTAGACAGACAGATGAGGGTATATGTAGGACACTGCCTAATGTTGTACCTGGATCCAGCTTAAACCTCATTGGAGCTTCTGGTAATCCCAGCAGTTTTGGGACTAGAGAAATAATCCCAAATGTGGGACCATTTGCTGGTGGATTTAGTTTACCAGTGAGAAACTGGCCTGAACCAAGTCAAACCACTTCGAACATCAATTTACATTCTACCTTTAACATCTGCGCCAGAGAGCAAATTATGTATCAACCTGTTGGCCAGGGTGCTCTGTTTGGCAGCACACAAAGAGGTGTATCACTCTCAGCCACAACAGAGACAAGCTACTTGGCCTCATCAGCTACTCAAGGTCATCTACAACCCAGTGGTGATTGTGGTGGAAGTAGCTCTTATAACTACTCTAAATCTATTGCAGTTCAACCAACTGGCCAAACTCTATCCCATGCACCTGTGTGCACACCTGCAATTGCTGAAAAGATTTTATTGAGTTATGGGCTTCAAAAAGAGGATTTGTATGAACTCATAAACTGTCCAGATGAAGAAACTACGGCTGAGAACCTACCCTACACTTTGCAGAAGATTCGTATGAAGAACGCCAATAGGGCTTCATCTGCAGTCACATCAGCATCTGCATCTCAACCAACTACAGATAGACTAAACAGATTGGATAGTTATGGACAGCCAAAAACAATTCATAATGAAATGCCATCAGACAGTTCAAAGACAGTTGAAATTACTCAGTATGGACATACTGGAGAATGTTCTCCACATGTTGAGGATAAGACTTTTGATATTTTCAGTAAGGCTCAGGCATGTGGCAATAATTCGCTGGTGGACAACTTCAAGACTAACAGCCAAAATAAAGAAGGGCCAGAAAAAAATTCAGAGTTAAAACCCACTGGTTTGATTACATCAAATGAACATGTAACATCTGTTATTAGCTTGAGCTCAGCAAAGAATGTGGTAGCTCCAGCCCAACTGGTAAATACTCAATCAAACCAGACCTTGCAATCAACCTGCCCAGCTTTGGCTGTACAAAAGAAAAACTGGGACATTTCAAAACCAGAGTCTGACGTTTTTGGATTTCCACCTGCAAAAGCATCAATATCCCACATTAAAACAAAGACACACACGGAAAGCACAGATGCAAAAGCTCAAAGTAAAACTCAAGACCAAGATTCAAAGACCTTAGATATAACACCACAGCAAACTCCACAGAATCCTGTGCCAAAGCAAACCCCTCTGCAGATGACACAACCTCAGAAGACCACTGCTTTGGAATCACTTTCCCCTTACTCTTGCACCCCTACAGTCACAGATGTTTCTCATTCCATTCAACCTTCTGGTATCAGTCCTGTTTATCCAAACATCCCAAGCTTGGATCTGGTAAAGACCACTGATGGGCAAGGATCTAAGCAACAGTCTGCGGCAAAACCCGCCACCTTCAAGGGTCTCCCATCACTAGCTAAAATGCATGATTATACTGCAACTAAACCGAAGACGTTTCCACATACCTGTTCTTTATGTAGAACAAACTGCTCTCATATAAAGGTGAGTCAACAATTGCACTCTTCTCTCTAATGTGAATTTGGGGACAAGAAAAAATAGAAATAGCCTTCTTTTCTTGGTCTTTTCAAGTGTGTGTTAAATGAAGGGTGTCTAAGCCGCAAAGTTTTCAGACTGATTAGCAGATTTAATTAAATTGTGAGATCGATGTGAGAATCTGTGTGTGTAAATTATTCCAACTGTTCCATTATCATGTAAGTACGTTCTTACGTATCAGAACTGGTTATGTTTACTAATATATGAGACACTGCATCTCAATGGAAAAGGTAAAAATGGATTTGTGTTAGGGCGGATCTTCCATGTTTGATGTATCGACAACTTACCCTGGAGAAACATCATTCATATTATGACTGTCTTGGCATTCTAGAAGGGACTTTTTAGTGTAGTTGTATCTTCACCTAGTTTCAAAGGAAACAATCTTTGAGGAAAACGTGGGTATCTTGTATCGCATGCTCATTTCGGCTTAGTGCTTCTGTGTTATGTATGAACATGATATGTCAACCAGAACGAAATCTTTTCATGTGGCCATACTCATGGTTTACTGCTGTTCTAGTTGATGTCTCAAAAATTTTTACACAAAAAATCAGAAGGCTGAATTTGTTGTCACACAGAAACTTGGCCACCTAATTGAAATGACCAGAGAGAGTTTAGGTTCCTATGCTGTGATAGGAGGCATTCATACTCCTTTTCCTCCCTTCCTTCTTGCTGCCTGCACTATTCGGGCAGTACTTATCATTGCGACTGCCGACACACTCTTCTGCTCCGGCTTGAGTGTTCCTTCCTTTCTCAGATCAATCCTTAGATTCAGCCTCTCAGCTCTCACTAACAATATGACAGTTTTTCGTAAATTCAGATTAGTGATCTTGTTATACAACCATCAGAAATGATGATGTAAACTTAAAACATTTGATGATAATGACACTGTTCTACATGTTTCTATCTAAATGTCAACTGTAGGATTGGATTGGTCATCAGCAAACCATCCTGCACCTCGGGAACTGCAAACTTCTACGGGATCAGTTAGTAACATTTATTTTATTGGCTGATTTCTTATGTTACAGATACATTCTTTGTAAAAAGTTAGAACATAAATGCAAGAAAAGTGTTGAAAAGAAAATGGAATATTCAAATGGTCCTGTATTGGAATGAAATTTGGTGATTTTTAAGTAATTGTATTACAGCGAAATTATGGTCTGACTTTTAATAATCTTATTTATATTTTGTGTAACAAAGCTATTGAACTTGGGTAACTAAAAAATCTGGTTAAATGTGCAGTTTTCTACAATGGCTTTTTTTTTATTGGTTTTCTTACATTTCCCACAGATACCCAGAGTGGGATGGCAAAGTAACACCACAGCAATGGTACATTTTCTTTTTTTTTTTATTTCAAATAAAAGTACAATCCACCATTCCACTTATGACTGACTGCAACTTTTGGTGTTTTTTTTTTGTTTTTTTTTTTAACAGTAATGTCATTAGAAAATCCAGGATTTCACCTTCAGCTTCTGCCCAGACTTCCCAGGGTCATCAAAAGAGAACCAGTGATGGGAGTCATTGCCATTCTCGGTCTCGCAGCCCTCGACGATGCCACACCTCAAGAAAAAGAAGGGAGTCTACCAGCAGTAGTTCATCCTCTGAAAGCCCTCACCGACGACGCAGTTCTAGGCGTAGAAAGGCTTCTACCAGCAGTAGCTCTCGTTCTTGCAGCCCTCGCCGACGACGCAGCTCTAGGCGTAGAAGGGCCTCCTCCAGTAGTAGCTCGCGTTCTCGGAGCCCTCGCCGGCGATGCAGTTCTGGTCGTAGAAGGGCCTCCTCCAGCAGTAGCTCTCGCTCTCGGAGCCCTCGAAGGCGACGCAGTTCTGGGCATGGAAGAGGCTCCTCCAGCAGTAGCTCTTCCAGCCCTCGCCGATGCCACAGTTCGAGGCATAGAATGGGCTCCTCCAGCAGTACCTCTCGCTCTCATAACACTCGCAACACCCACAGCTCTGAAGATCAAAGGGAAAAACGAAAAAACAGGACACAATCACTGTACATCCCCAGGAGAATTTGCAGGTTTGTGAAAATTGAAAATCTGAGGTTAGATATTGAGATGTTTTATTACATAATTTTGATGTAAGTTTCATCATGTGGTTTCAAGTTTTTCCTCTCAAGATGTTAAGATCATAAATAGTTGCTAAATTGTTTTATTTGTTCATTGAATAATTTAAACCTTGTTGAATCAGGTCTCGTTCTAGATCTTACTCTCCGAAGACCAGCTGCCACATTTCTGGGAGACGGATTTTACAAAAAGAAAGTCATAAGAAACCTGGCTCACCAACAAGGAGCTCTAAGCCACAGTCGCTTACTAGAATAAATGATAAAAAATCATCCCCAAGAAAGGGTGGTGAACCAAGACGATCACCTAAGAAGGGTGCTGAGCTAAGACCAACGCCACATACAAGCAAAGAGCGACCAAGGTTGGAGGGGAGTGATGATAAACAACGGTCAAGGAGTCCCAAGAGACCGTTGTCTCCCAAAAGTGATGAGACAAAAGAGTCCAGAGGAAGGAGTCGTGAGCGACGATGTTTGCCAAACAAGAGCATTAAGCAAGACTTACCAAAAGCATCTAGTAAGAAACGACAGTCACCAGGGAAGGGTGGTGCGCCGCAGTCATCGGTACATGATGACCGACCACATTCACTGCAGAAGAGTTGTAAGACACAGTCATTACAAAAAATAAATGATGGGGAACAGACCTCATCAAAAAAGTCTGAGAAGCTCTCTTCAGTAAATGGAAGCCGTAAGAGACAGCTATCACTAGAAGAATCATCTTCTCAAAAAAAGAAGTCATGCACTGAAGACATTCTAAAAGACCAAGCTCTGAATTCAGGTTTGTTTTATTTAAATAAGTATCATTAGTCACAATGATTGGAATAGGATAAGGCTGGGCATACACTATACAATATTTTTAATCTTTGTACTCACGTACAGCTCAAAGTGTACAATGAAATCGCAGGTTTTAAAAAAGCACTGTAGGGCCCGACGCTCTGATGCGATATACCTTCTCACACTGCACGTCCAAAAACCACATGTCAGACTCATCACCGAGAAATGGCGCTGGTCAGATTTGACAATCAGGAAAACTAAGAACTTTTTTGTTTGGCGTGCGTGAGGTTCTGGTAAATCGGCTCGTAGAAGCTCGTAACTTTGCTTCAACAGCAGAATATGCTCACCTTACGAGGGCCAACTGAATTTCAAACATGTTTGATTGTTGTTTCTCCCAAACTTACGATTCCAGGAGGATCGCGCCTTATATACTACACGACGCAGGATGCACGATGATGATGAAACTCGGCCCAATCAAAAATAATTCTTGCACGACTGAAGAATCGGCCTGAAAAGGGAAAAAATCGTACAGTGTATGCCCGGCCTAAGTCTGTTACCGATGTAGGGGTTACGGTGCCTTGCACATGTATTGGGCCCCCTTGAACTTTTCAACCTTTTTCCACATTTCAGTCTTCCAATATGAAAATATAAAATTGTAATTTTTAGTGAAGAATCAACAAGTGGGACACAAACATGAAGTGGGAAGAAATGTATTTGGATGTTTAAACATTTTTTAACAAATAAGAAAATGAAAAATTGGGTGTGAAAAATGATTCAGCCTCCTGGAATTAATAGTTTGTAGCGCTGCCTTTTGCTGCGATTACAGCTGCAAGTTGCTTGGGGTATGTCTATCAGTTTTGGAGTAACTGACATTTTTCGCTATTCTTCCTGCAAAACAGCTCAAGGTCAGTTAGGATGGATAGAGAGCATTTGTGAACACCAGTTTTTAGTTATTTTCACAGATTTCTTGATCGGTTTCAGGTCTGGACTATGACTTGGCCATTCTTATACCTGGATATGTTTATTTGTGAAGATTTTGCTTTATATTTTGGATCATTGTCTTGTTGGAAGATAAATCTGCGTCCCAGTCTCAGGTTTTTTGCAGACTTCTACAGGTGTCTTTCCAGAATGGTCCTGTATTTGGCTTCATCCATCTTCTCATCTATTTTAACCATCATTCTTGTCCCTACTGAAGAAAAACAGGTCAAAACCATGATGCTACCACCACCATCCACAGTGTGGATGCTGTGGTCAGGTTGATGAGTTGTGTACTTATACACACAACTGTTTTGCATTGTTGCCAAACAGTTATATTTTGGTTTAATCTGACCAGAGTACCTTCTTCATCATGTTTACTGTGTCTCCCAGGAGGCCTGTGGCAAACTTTAAACAAGACTTTTTATAGATATCTTCAAGAAATGGCTCTTTTCAATAAATGCCAAATTTGTTGTCCTATGGACAGTCTCCCACCTTAGGTGTAGATCTCTGCAGTTCATCCAGAGTGATTATGGGCGGGCCTCTTGGCCCCTCTGATCAGTCTTCTCCATGTTTGAGCTGAAGATTGAGAGTCAAGACCGGGTCTTCAGAGATTAGCATTAGTCGGATACTCCTTCCATTTCGATATCATCGTTATTATCGAGGAGAGCTCTCTGTGCAAAGCATTCTGGGATATATCTGCCTCTTCCGAGGCCTTTCTTTTCTTCTCATACACCTTATAGACACTTTTTCTCCTAAGAACCTCGGCCATTTTCAACGAACCAGGGAAAGAAAAGTTAGCTTCAATGACTGTCTGAAACCGTAGCTCACCACAGATATATAGCTATAGCTAACGCGACAAGCACTTAGGACGGCCTTACGTAAACATATCACCAGAATGATTGATAATTGAGAGGACCACTTATTTATATAATCCACCCTGAAATAAAAGATCATCCTCTAAACCTTTAAGAACGAACAACTTTAAATTAAGTCTTATACTAAAACATTACAATGATATTTTGTACAGTATTGAAAAAAACTTTTTAGAATTGTCTTTAATTAGAACTAATGCCTTGTTTTTGATTTATGATTTAATTTCAGTGCCAGAGCAGCTGAACAACACCAGTTTGATTGAGCCTTTAGTTGATGCTACAGTGGTAGAGCAAGCCAAAATACGGGCACCTTCACCAGTACAATCATCATTTACCTCACCGGCCAATAAGAAAGAGGCTTCCACATCATCAAGAGGAAGCAGCCCAACCTCTGCTTCTTCATTGCCTTCTTCCAAACCAGTAAAGTCAAAGTTGCATACGAAGTGGGATCAGATTCATCCTAATGTTCCAAGGACCGAAGCAAGTCTACAAACAACTGTTCCCAAGGTTGGTGTTTGGGTTTCATATCATGTAGTTCAAACATGGCATCATTTACTAATCGTATTTTGCCTCAGCCTTAGCTTTGCACTCTCATTGTTGACTCTGCCTAACTGATTTCCTCTTTTAGAAGATTTTTGAAATTAGGTTATATTTCCAGTATATTAGCAGCATTAAAATTATGCATTACCGTGTGTGACGTGTGTTTTCCTGGATATGAGATTTGAACCCAAAATGTTCCATCCAGACTGAAGTTGGAAATCAAAAGGATCAAACTAGGCTCCTTTGCTTTGCTGTTGCTGCCTTTTCTTTTAGTCTTACACTATTTCAATTTGCCTTGGCCTGATTGAACCTCTGTCAGGATCACTGATCTCAATTTATTCACTGGATTGCCTATTGAAATAACTGGGTAGAATGAAGTCACCAGCCACCATATTGGTACTCCCTAGTTAGACCCGTCTGAATGTAAACAATACGTATGCTAGAGTCCTGCAACCGGTCGG